CTTATACATATATCTTGCTGTTATAATTGAAATGACATATAAGCAATGGAAAAAAAGATTCAAATTGATTCATGTTGAAAGCATAAAATAATATTCTTTAACACATTGTCAACCACATAATAACTTGTATTCAGTGTCATAATACAAACTGCCAACTCATGTTAGTCACTTTCTAATACATTTCCATCTGCAAGTACCAACAAGTTTATTCATAGTGATACTTTAAGTTAGAAAACAATGTGAAGACTTCAATTAAATCAACTCATAAAGCCTGTTTCTTGCTTAAGTTGGCTATTATAAAATTGGTGTTTTAAGTCAGATTTCATAATTGACCTCTAGCAGTCAACATGTCATCAAAGTTGATTTTTTTCATAAAGTCTTATGTATAGCGTGAGTATTCATGTATAATATGCAATTTTTCCCAGATTTTTAAGCCTAAAAGATAAGGGCAAGTATTATACATGAGAACTAAATATTTACTTTATTGGGACACATGCATGTTATATTGGGAACAATATGGTAAGTTATCCTTATAGTCAAATGAACTAATGTATAACAAAGAGTTTAAGTCACTAACCAAATACTGCATTTGTTTGAAAAGAAAAATGTATTCACAAAAATATTAAAAAAATTTTAGTATGTTTCACTGCTGTTTATGTCAAAGGTTGACGTTATGACAGTTTCATCTGATTTGCGAACATAGAACATGTTTTTGTGTAAAAATGTCTGTGTGTTTACTTTAAATAACATGTAAATTTTAGTTAGAAAACATTGTAAACTATATAAATTTTTATTTTTATTCAAAACAAACCAGATCAAAAGCTGAACAAATGTTACTTTTGTCTGCTACCAATTCTAAGATATCAGTGCATATTATACTTGGACAGTATTATAGTATTGAAAGGAATAAAGACCAATTGCAAGAAAACAGAAAGTTGAATGTATGGTTGTCAGCAAAAGGAACCACCCAACATGCAAATTATAAATTGAAGATACTAAAATCTAACAAGTACAACAATTTAAATATCTATGAAGTGTTTTAACAAAGGATGAAAAGTGGGACACCAAAATCTTGAAGGCCCATTGGGATAGTTAAAGATGCCTTCCAAAAGCTAAGCAAAGTATTAAGAAACAGCAAATTTTTGTTAGAAATGAAGGAAAGACTATTGAACTGTTATGTAATATTGGCCCTCTTATATAGCAGTGAATGCTGGACAATCTCATCACAGATGAAGAAAAGACTTAAAGCAAAAGAAATATGGTTCTACAGAAGGATCCTGAGAATACCATGTTCTGAACATGTGAGTAATGATAAAATTTTAGAGAAAATGAAAACAAGGACATTTATACTTAACATGAGAAAGTAGAAGTTGAAATTTTTCTTTGATGTTTGGAGAACATATTGAAGGCAAGTGAGATAGAGGAAAACAATGCATAACCTACTTAGTGAGCTTGAGCAAATGGATGGATGAACAGGGTTTAGGAGAGATAACAAAAATACAAAATTTACTAAGAGCTACAAAGGACAGAAAATTGTGACTAGCTATGATCGCCTACATCCTGAAGAAGCATTACATATAGAAGATTATAGTATTAAGTTGACAACATGAAATGAAAATTTATTACTTAGTAATTTTAGTTACTTAGGGCAAATATCTTCTTTACTCATAGACATGTGACTGGTTATTTTTGCAATGAATGGAAATCAGCTTATATATTTATTTTTAACTGTTGCTTTTACGGCTGTTTATATGGTTCAGCATGAATTAAGAAAGCTGACACACCTCTTTAATGGATAAGAACATATGTAATGGATAATGTCCAGAAATTTTGGACAATGTGTCTCTGAACAAAAACTCTTGTAACCAGTGTTGATCTTTTATCAACCAAAATTGGTGGGGGGGGGATTTATTTGGTTTATTTCAGACCATTTTTTTCCTATCATGATGCTTTGGCTAGTATAGCTTTTCTTAGGTGTCATGCCCCGTCAGAACAAGGTTCAAATGCATCCGACACCTGAAGAAGGCTCTGAAGATGCAACTGCAAAAAGGTTGTGATAAAAAAGAGAAAAACACCAAAAGAAAAGAAAATTAATCTGAGTTGAAATAAAAAGAAACTGAAACTAGAATTGAGAAATCTGTTAGTCATTGTGTAAGCAAAAAGAGATGAGTGACAACTCAAGAAATAGAGCTGAACTTGAATCTAAGAGAGAAAAACAAGAATTTGAGAAGAGAGAAGACATTTAAAAACAATTGTACATGTCTATTTGTACATCAAGTAAATTAATGATTAAATAAATAAAAAAATTACCTATGCAAGTCATTTTCATCTAAGTGAAGATTTCTTCACTGGTGGTCCACATTGCAGTAACAATTATTTTCTTCTACATTTCCTAACAGCTTGTTTGAACATTTGTCTGAATATGAACTTCTGTTTATTTTTTTTTTGGGGGGGGTACTTTACAATCCTCAGATTGATTTTTATAGGTTTATATGCATTTAATCAATATGTACATTCATTTTGAAATATATTTTAAGGGTCTTAATCAATACAAATAGTATGAATAAATTAGATATCTATAAAGTTATCCAAACATACAGATTTCTTCTTTTAATAACCATTACAATTAATAATGATGTGTGATTTAAACTAAATAGAATTTTGGTACAAAAAAGCAAAAATGATATCTGTTTATTTTCATGAGTTGCTAGTGTAGAGACACCTAAAAGAAAATAAGAACAACAAGGAAACTTGTGATCTGAAACAGAGTTGAAATTTCTGTGACACTTAATGAGGAAAGTGGGCCAAGAGAATTTAACCCTCACAGAACATACTGAAGAAAGAGAAATGGGGGAAAACCAGTGAGTAACCTACTTAACAAGTTCATGTAAATAAATAGCAGAAGAGTGACCAAAAATGGATGACAAAGTGTAAATATTACTTAGAGCAAAGAAGAATGAATAAACAGAAAATCGTGGAGAGTTATGTTCACTCATGTATTGAAAGGATTTGGCACATAAAACAATGTTATTGTCTGTCATATGATAGTGATTTAACATTAGAAATATACTTGTCATTGTGGGTAATATTAAGTTTTATCATTTTTGCTCATCCATATTTCTGCTGTAAATTTAAGCAGGCTTTCATCACACATAAATAATAAATTCAGTACCTACCTGACATTTCAATTTTGATAGGCAATAGAAACCAACTATAGACATTTTTTTTAAATCAGTTGAACCCAAACAAGATAATAATGCCACTAAAACACAAAGGGATACTGAGAAGGAAATAGAATGAGGAGACTTTAGAATCGTAAAGGGATAAACCTCTATTTCTATTTAAAAGACCACGGATGAATGTGAACTGGATGATGGGCAAACATACCTACACCTGTATTTTTTTACCATTTATATTAAGAAAAAGTAATATTTTTTCAAAATCCAGTTAAGTAAACATTAAATTAATATTGGAGAAATTAGCTGCTTCATTGTATGAAACAGTTGGTATTCTTTGGTCTAATGTTACTGTTAGTTGAAATTTCTAAAAATCACTTTCTTGAAACAGTTTTTCAGGAAATTCCTCAAGTCCACTAGCCATTATTGGTCTTTCTAACAGTGATTAGTTTCCTTCCAAACCTTTTGTTTTTGGTAGTGTGGAAATTTAACATCTTGGTTATATCATTATATTCTCTTTTAATTACATTTTTCTTGTTGCTGTTGTTGAAAGACTTTGAGTTGTTTTTATTTGATATAGCTCTTTGCTTATGATTCTGTAATGCAGTCTTTCGGGTCTGATGAAGGATCATCTTAAAGACCTGAAGGAGTCTTTCACTTGAAGTCATTTTTAATCAGTGATCTGAAAAAAAAGTTTATATATTAATGACAGTTTAGACATTTCTGAATTCAATGTCATACATGATATCTATATGAAAGTCTAATCAGATTTAGACTATTTGAACATGACTCAAGTTAACTTTCATTGAAACCTATATCTTGATAATAGCTACTTTATTTTGATTTAATTACAAGGTTCAAATATTTTTGTTGGCAGACACCAATTATGGTTTAATCAAAGTTAATTTTGGCAAACAAAAATTGACATTAAAAATAATCTAATCTGCTTTAAATATGCAAAATAATTTTTCATTTTTATAAATAATTTTATGCTATTTCTTGCAATCAAAACCACAAAGAAAATTTCAAAGAAATTTTTAGAATATTTTTTCAATCCTTACACCCCAAGCAAGGCAATGAAGCCAATAAGATGGGGTTACTGAGTGTGAAATATAAGTCACAGAAAAACATTATTAAGAGAAGAAAACAATGAAAGAACAGGAAATAAGAAGACAGAAGATAATGGTTGACATTGCATTTAAATTTTTAAAGATCAAAGTTGATTGGAAAGCAAAAAGCCAGAAGAGTTCCACAAGCAAAAAGTGCAAGTGAAGAAACTATTAGCATAGAACTTACAGTTACTTCTTGCCATTTCAACTGTAAAATGATGAGACCTAGCTGCTAGTTTAGTACAGCATTTAAATTTGTGAAGTCAAGTTATCAAATAGGATTTTCTGGAAGTCATAACTGTTCAGTTTTGTATCTGAAACTTCAACAAAGGAAACATTTCATTGTTTTAGAAAGTATTCTAAAGCAATTTTTACATTTCAGATATGAAACTGAGAACTTATGACTTCCGAGAAAATCTGAAGTTAAATAGAACCTTGTCTTATTGTGAAGCTTTTCATAACCACGTGGTCAAAGCAGCTCGGATTAAATGCCAATTTCTCCTCCAAAGGGAAGCACAAATTTGAATCTTGGTGGAGAGCACATTTGTTTAATAAGTTTTCTCAAATGTGCAAGCTGCTAGATGATATAAAATGCTGTTTAAGATAAATGGAGCGTCTACTCAAATATGAGTATTCACTATAAATAATATCTAAAGTAATAAAAATATGTTGGATTAAAAAAGTAAAATCCATATACGTGTTTATCTCTTTCTAGGAATACAGTGGTTTACGAGCTCAGGATCTCCAAGAAGTTAAAGATCAACTGCTGGTAGAGACAGCCGACATGTTGAGTGTTCCATTATTTACAGCTGAAGCACTACTTCGCAACCATGGTAAGTCTATTATTTTTACTGTCAGCAATGACCAAAAATAGATCCTCTCTTTTACTGACTAGACATTTTTAAAGTCCTACTGATTAACTATAAATGTTGGAAAATATCTTTCATATACGTTACTTGTATACTCATGACAGTTATTGTTATATTCTAGTAGACAGGGCTTACTGCCATATCATGTTGAAACAAAGGTTCCTATGATCACCATAGTTAAGCAATGTTGAGCTGTGTCAGTACCTAGATGAGTGACAACTCCAGAATACCATGTTCTATAAGCTTGGATGTGCATTTGATGTAATGGATAATGTCTTGGAATTGGAATTGCCATCATTTCTTTGGGGTGGGTAATCCAACATGCTGCTCATTGTTGTCTGTTACAAAAACTAAACTAAAATGCATTCAAGAACTCTTAACCAATTTAAGTCTAAATTTGTGAAATTCTGCAATATATCAGGATTCTAATTTTTAGATTTTAGTTTTCTAACTTGTTTACAAAATTAAAAAAAAAACATTGTTTTATCTTAATATTTTCTTAAGAAATTTTTTTAGAAATAATTTTCCCACTTATGCTTTGTAGTCATAGAATCATAGTGAAAATTTGCTAGAATATGAAAGTGAAATTATTATCTACAAATTGCTATAACTTCTTGGGACTCCTTGGGAAAGTTAGCACAGTTTTTTTCTGTTGCTTTCTGCATGGTTTTGAATTTAAAGTAATCTTCCTACTTGATTGATTGCTAATCAATGCTAGAGAGCCTTACATACTCTATTTAACCTGTAGCTGGTGTAAAAGTTATAGATTCATGCTTTCCCAAAACAAATTTGTGTAAAATTGATTGCAACTAAGTGAGAATTTAAACTTAGCTAACTGATCCCATTTCCTGTTTCTTGCTACTCTACCTGAACATAACTACGACCTGTATACCTGATAATAATTATTTTTAAAACTTGCCTACATTTTAGATTCCTATTCTTATGTCTTTACCCAAGCCATTTGATTAAATGGTTGGCAGTTTCAGAAATATATTTACTTGAAGTAATTACATAAGAAAAAATTAGTTATTGAAGTTAAGCAACATTTTGTGTGATCATTATTTTGATAAGGTAGCATTTAAAAATAATATACATCATATATTGGCTATGCAGATAGCATTAATATCAGGTGATGGAGTACAAGTTGATGAGTATATCTGAAGTCAAAGAATGTGGTTATATTTTGTTCTGCAGAATTTGAAGGACAAATGTCAAAACATTTGGGCCAGAACAAAGAGTCCAGCTTCTTGGTAAATATTCAAATTATGAACAATGTGGCTAATAAAGGAAATTTGGTTCTCATTCACATAGTTAATATTGAGCAATGCAAAAGCAGTCACCATTGTCTAAGTGAAAGGACAGACAATCTTTCACTGCTTAAGTTTCACAATATAGGACTAATATTCAACACTGAAGTAAATATATTGACAAGGAAGATTATGTTGAAACATGAATATTTATTGAGTAAAATAAATGCTTTTTTCATCATTAGTTTATGAAGATTGATATGGGTATGTATGTGTGGATGTGTGTGTGCCCCTACAGACAGACGAGGAGTGTTGAAAATCCTCCACCCATTTTGTATCTTCCTAAAATATGACTAAACATCAGATTTTTATGTATAATCTCAATTAGGCTGAGTACATTTTAGCATACCCTCTTATATGCATCTTGTGTTGACTGCTGTCTCCACACTGTAATATATATATATATATATATATATATATATATATATATATATATATATATAAAAATTAAGTAATTCATCGAGTCTAAAAGAAACCTCAACAGAATGCAGAAAGCATTGGACAGCCATTTCATCCTATATTTGGGACTCATCAGCAGTGCACATCCACTACTGAGAATTGAAACCCTGACAATTAGGTTATCATGCAAATGTCATACCAACTGTTCCAACAGGCCTCGGTGACAAAGGGGTAGCAAATCAGACTCAATATAGTGCCGCTCGCTCACATATTCTGTGGTGGAACTCAACTGAGATTCTCTATAACTATAGGACTGTGCCTCCAAGAGCCACAACTACTATCACCGAGCAGTGCTATATTGAGTCTGATTTGCTACCTTTTTTTTTTTTTTTTTTTTTTTTTTTTTTTTTTTTTAATTCCATCTCCTACTTGCAAGTTGGCCAGTGGCTCCTTCTCTTTGTCAACCCTCTTGAGCCTGGTTTGAATCCAGAGTTTTCCTTCTCCTAGAATTGTTGTCAAGGCCATTTAGCCCAGTGTTTTGCTATTTATCCATAGCTGAGGGGAAAAGAGATGGGGTCATAACTAAATGAATGAAACAAACTTGACTGTATTTTGAACTTGACTCTCCAATTTCTCATTCTGAGTCATTGTC